AAGGTCCGCGACTTCATAGTCCGGTGGGAGAAGGAAGCCAGAGACGTGCATGGGGCGGATGACCAAGCGTTGGTTGCCATGTTCCAAGCAGCCCTCCCCCGCGGAGAGGTGAGGAAGGAGCTCCGCAAGAATCCTCCCCCCCACGTACCAAGAGACCTTGGCGCGCGCAAAGTTCTTAGCCTCGGAGGAGTTCGATGACGCCCTGGAATCCGAGGCCGTGCCGGCTAAGCGAGCTTCAGCAAATTCGGGAGAGGCCGCGAAGAAGAGGAAGAAGAAGAAAGACTATACCGCGGGCCCGAGGATGCCCTCGGCCGGAGTATACTCTGTGGGCGCCCCCGTGGGGGCGGGTCGAGAGCTTGCCCTTTCCCCGCTCCCCCACGTAGAGGCTTACGCGGTGTCCAGCGGAACTAAGTATTGAGAGTACCATCGTAACAACACTCATAACGCTAAGGAATGCTTCACTCTCCAGAAGGAAATGCAACGACTCATCGCCCGAGGGCCGCTTCTAAGAGACGACGCGGCTACCCCTCCTGGGGCCCGCCGGAAGGAAGAACTTGGAGGAAGGCGACTGAGCCAATCGCAGTGGCGACGCAGGCAAGGAACCCCGAGAAGAGGCACATCGGGCGGGAGTGCGACGATCTGGACGAAGACGAAGCCCAAGGATATCCGGTGGGATCTATCCATGGGGGAAACATTGGTGGGGACTCCGCCGCTCAAAGGAAGAGGTGGAAGCACATGGCCTTTGTCGCCAAGGTCCATCAGGCGCCGGCGCCCAAGCTCGGAAGACGAGAGCAAATCCAGTTCACGGAGAAGGATCATTCGAACACGCCGAGTCCCCACCGGGATGTTAGACAAACGTGCAACTCTAGAGGGGGGGGTGAATAGAGTTGTTTTCAAGAATGTGCGTTTTTCGCGTAAAAAAAAAATTTCGCAGGAGTAAGTAAAGAGAGTAAGGGAAAGAAGAACACCGGGATTTATACTGGTTCACCACCTCGTGGCTAGTCCAGTCCTCCGAGAGACTCTCTCGAAAGTCCTACTAATCTTCAAGCTTCAACGGGTGCTTGAAAAACCGGTACAACTTGAGAACTTGAATCACACAAGCCTCACTTTCTTACAACAACAAGACTTGAGTCACA